AGAAGCGACCATGCCGCTTATGATGTTGTTGTGAATACAAAATATTCGTGATGCGACCTTACAGCAAAACAAGCAAATTTACAGCTCTTTGAAAAAAATAATAATCGGAAAAACTGTTGGAACTTGGTGACGACGAATTTTGATATGTTAGTGACGCTGAATTGTTGGAATAAATGGAGACGGTGAAAAAAGCTATGAGGATGATAGTGCATGAATGATGCCAGCGATAAACACAGCGGGGATGGCGCTGCAGGTTTTGTGCAGGATCCCTGTATTATACGAGTTATTATTCCACGTATTATTACGTATTATTCCACGTCTGCCTCTTCCGTTACACGTCCATGACAGCAGACCTCCACAACTAGTAGGCACAGTCAATAACATTTTATACGTATTGCGAGATGTTATTGTTTATTATCACAGTGTACATTATGTGTGTAATAATCCTAACTTCCGTGAATTAGGTATATGCTCTCCACCGAGAATACCGGTTTTTATTGCATTGATGTATATTTCATTTATTTGTTTTTCATTTCATTTTATTTAAATGCAGAACTATATTATATCCCGCATGCATCCCTACTGACTTAACGTGTGTGCAAAGAAAAACGTAAAATTACCACCGTATGCATGCCCTGGGGCACATTCTATCTAACACATTTTAATAAAGCGCGCCACTAATACACTGAAATGCTTCACTGAACATTCGGTATCTATGTCCACATCCTTCGACACGGCGACTGAATGTAATTCAAGCCATCAAAACAGCAAGTGTCTCGTGTAGCGTCTAGGTAAAATTAATGTACATACACGCTTTTGAAACCATGTCATGTGGCAGCAATAGGCACGGAACCCGTGACCCAGTGAAAGTGTTTGCACGAGATGGCGCTGCGAGCGAGGTCGCTATGAGCGTGACCCAGATGTTGCGCTGTCTAATAACGAACGAAACAGTTCGACAACAGTCTTACTGTCTGTCATCCTTGTATTGTTACTTTCGTCAAAACTTGGTCGTCGGGTTGTTCATGCGTGCGTGCGTGTGCGTGAGCGCGTTTTAACGTGGGCTGTATGACTGAGGAATATATATATATATATATATATACCCAACTTTAAGCAGGTTCTCTGCGTTATACAGGCATAAGACAAAAAATGAAAGGAGAATTCTATCACGGCATACGCGATATCGAATTTGTAAATGTGAAAATTTGTTGTTTAAATGATTTGACCACAACAAGAATCAATGACGGATACGTACGTCACGATAAATTTCTTTCGAAGGTCTTCAACTTTACCTTCTATTTTATTTCATAATTATTATTAGTTTTATTTATAATTATTTATATATAACAAAATTAGTTTTTCTGCTTATCTAGTTATGTCGACTTATTTCGATAATATCAAGAGTACATGATTTGAGCAGTAGGCCTACATGAAATCATCACTGTTTATGTATATTCCTGATCGTATAACGATGTTCTGTGTTAAATCTTTTACAACTACCCTGGCGGCATAGCTCTCCTATGTACGAATCTCGATCGGTGATTACTCTTGTTTGGTACGCCGATCTTCCGTCGCGTTCTAAATAACTTGCACGACCTGAAAACTTTTAAATGGATCAAACGACAATGGAACCAGAGCATGATGATCTCTGCCATTAAGCTCCGTTGCTAATAGAACGTCTATTGAATGTCCCGCTGTACTCATTCTAGTGCCAACTCTGCGGCGGCCTACTTTTAGATAAGTCTTACGCCACCGCAAGGTGACTGCAGTATTGCGTACATAAGTGTAACCTGTTACTGGTTTCACTGTGCGGAGCCGCAATGCTCGCGCCGCATCACAAAGCGGGTGTTTAACAAAAGTGGCAGCAATGTTGAAAGCGAGTGTTCTTGGCCGTCGATCTACGATGCGAAATGCTCGTCGAGCGGCTTATCACATTTATTTTGATTCCAGGGTGATGCTTCTGCGTCTCCTGAATCGCCGATAATGATTTTAAATCAGTTATACGATAAAATAATCTATTGTACTCGTATTGCAGTAACGGGAAATCTCAGGATTATTGCCGTCGAAGGACGAAGCGAGTGATGTTTATGAACGCAATTATAATGTTCCTGTATGTGTGTGCACCCATTCATGGGTTGCACGAAAAAGATACTATTTTCAACCGACAACAATAAACGAGGCCGGCGATGATAGACTTGAAAGCGTGACTACGTTATGGTTAGCGAGACCGACGAGTCAACCACGGTTTAACGATGGCTGGAGCGATCATGCGACAGATATGTGGCAATGACACTTGCATGCGCCCCTACGTTGCGACTGTGCGACAGTACGATAGAGATGGGCTAACGATACTATAACGTTGGAATAGGCAGTGATTGATGATGGTCGAATTAACGAGCTAAAGAGTGACAATACATGACATATGTATCATAGTTTGGATATATGTAATACTTGGTGTTCGGTGGTGCTCGGCGTGTAAACAAGATAACAGAACGAGGCAAACACTTTCTTAATGTTGCAACAACATATTATTCTGACAGAACGTCATTACAATGTATCGTTTAATATATATATATATATATATGTATATATATAACATAAAATGGACAAGTCCATCTTTTCCCACATACAACGCAGTTATAAGATAACACACGGCTATTAACACAATACGCAGTGTGCAAAACATAATATTATTACACTGTGCTGTGCGGACTTTAATAGTTGCTATGGGTAATAGAGAAACACGTTTACGTGCTCCGACGGTCTTGCCTGAGAGGCAGTCGGGTTCTCACAAAAATATATTTATGAATATTTACCCCATAGCAACCACCTTCGTCATTAACAACAAGAGATTGAATTCTATACCTGCATCCATATAGGTAAGCATTGAGCCGCAGCAATATTACATATAGGCCCCAGGTATATATATATATGATATTTATATATATATATTACATATAAATATAATACAAATTTTATTTGTACAGTGTTTGGAGTTACACCTGTCGGTAACATCTCACAATCATTCGAATTATTCGTTCTAATTTATCGTGTGTCCTCTTGTTATTCTCTGGTGTATAAATACGAAATATACAAACTTCTTTTGTTATTTTCTCAACGCGATAAGAAAGGCCTATTCTAGTTTCATATTAAAAATACATAGTGTTCTCAATCTCATGTTCGCTTACGGTCCGTGTCAATTCCGTCAGATGCTTCATACACACCAGTAACCACTCACGATGGCCACATAACTGCAGGGCGCGACTCGGGGGGGGGGAGGCGGGTTTATGACGACGCGATCATGTTGGTTGTGTTTTTCCGGGGTGAGGGGCGGGCGCTTGATGTGTGTTTCGCAAGAGCTTTCATCACAATCCTTCATAATCATTAGCGCGCAAGTTAAACCACACGCTCGCAGGCGACAAATACGCACACTCACGCGCACGCACACATACACAAACAAACATATACACATACAAGCACACGCGCGCAAACATGCGCATATGCACGCAAACACGCACACACGCCCGGGCGAGCACAAATTAGAGTGAACCTATGAGACGAGATTATAATCGAATAAGAGACAGACGGAAGTGAAAACGAGACGAGCGGACGACAACGGCACAGTATCGGAGAGCGCGTAACATTATTAAATGAGCGGGTATGCGTATAGCAGCTTTGCGAGCTGCATGCGTGCCTCGCTCACCGCCACGGGAATTTACCAGCCGTCATCTGCGGAGAGAGCAGCCTAACCGCAGGTAAATGCATGCGTGCATGCACGCACGCACGCACCAATGCGTGCATATACAGATACGCACGCATGCAGGCACCTGCACACGCAAGCACACAGGCAAGCACGCACATGCCCGACGGATGTTTTGAGAAGCGAGTAATCCTCACACCACACATGCAGCACTCGCTGCGAGCGGCCCTTGTAAATATATATACATACATACATATATATATATATATATATATATATATATATATGTATATATCAACTCAGCCGAAATTGTCCCTAACATCGAAATTCCTAAAGCTTAGGTGACCGAGCCCCGAGGAAAATTAGTTCATCAGCGTGGCGTCGGTAGCATACGCTCACCTCGCCATGTATCGCCGCTGCTTATGTGCCTGCTACCGGAGGCATGTAACGCGGTTAGGCCACAGCTGTATCGCGGGCGCGGTCGATGAAATGTTGTTTCACCGGCTGGGCGGTCAGACTCATCACAGCAATTATATATAATTGTCAGAGTCGCGAAATAAGAATCCGCGCGTAGATTAAGAGCTGATTACGAGGATATGTGAACGTTTATGATATTTATTAAAATGATTAACAGATTCGTCATACTCTCACCGAATGTTCGCGAGATTAACTTGCGATTTTAGATGGCCATTAAGAAGGAATGGCACTGACTCCCCGGATGTACGCGATTCCTGTATGTCCGCGGAGACCCAGATGTGAGGGTCATAATGGCGCCTAGGTTCGTAAATATGGTGGCCAATGACGCAAGAACATGTGCGTTTGAATGAAAATGTCTTTTTTGAAATCTACGCCATTGTTTAAATTCTAGACGTACCATCGTTTAACCTCGAATCACTCGAGCTACGTATAACTTACAGGCCTGAAGATTTGATTTGATCATAATAATGATATTCGTAATTTGGCTTCACTCGTTCTTTGCTGGATGTCAGGCTCCTACACGCACGAATTCTACGAATAGGACGGCAGCAGTACAGCAATTTAAAATCATTGATATAAAGTTGCACTGCTTCTGGAAAGTATTATAGCACGACATCAAACACGACAACCCTTACATTCGCTATATTACATATTGTTGCGTGTCTGCCTATCTGTCTATTTGACTGCATGTCTGTCTCACTCTCTCTCTGTCTTTCTCTCACTCTCCTCTTTCCCCCTTCCTCTTTCTCTATCCTTTTCTATGTTCATCTCCTTTTCTCTCCCTGACTCGAGTCATTATACACGAGCGCACGCACTCTCTCTCTCTCTCTCTCTCTCTCTCTCTCTCTCTCTCTCTCTCTCTCTCTCTCTCTCTCTCTCTCTCTCCCTCTCTATTCTTCTGCCCATCTTTCACTCATCATTCACATATCACACACGCTCGCATCCCATCCGAAAAACCCAGCAACCGAAATCAAGTTCATGACGCTTTCCCCGGGAGGCAGTTATCTCCACGTTGAGCAGTGACGGCAGCAGCGGCGGCGGCGGCGGTAACTAAAGCGAGTAGATGATGCTGCCGAATTCGTCGCCGCTGATGTCAGCAAACTCGTCGGCTGACGTCGCGCTCTCGTCGGCATCATAGTCGTCTGGAATGTCGCCGACGGCGCACAGGTCGTCCGCTGCCGTATCACAGTCCGCGGGCGGCACGACACTCTCCACCACGCGCAAGTCCGTCGTCATCGTCATCGTCGTCGTCGGCGGCAGCGCGCAGCGCGGACTAGAGCTCTCCGTTCTCGCGAGACACGCGCTGCCGTCCGTCGACACGTCGCAGCGCGTGTAATGTTCGCAGCAGCGTGATGGCTGCTGATGCTGCTGCTGCGGCATGGAGGCGTCACCGGTGCTACTCGTGCTTTCCTGCTGCTGCTGCTGCTGCTGCTGCTGCTGTCGCTGCTGCTGTTTCTCCTCCTTCACCTCGCGCTGCAGCTTCTGCATCGTGTTGTGAATGAGCACGCTGCGACGCAGGAACACCTCCGGGTCGTCGATCTGCCGCAGCTTGCCGATGGACATCTTCAGCACCTGCTTACGCTCCTCACGCGTCGCACTTCCGCGCGGAATTCCCGCCGCTCCCGCCGGCGCCGCCGCTGCCGCAATCTTGGCGGGAGGCTGCGAGTGGGCGTCCGTCCAGTCGACGGCGCACAACTTCCGCTTCTGCTGCTGCTGCTGCTGCGGAGGCGGAGCAGGATGAAGAGGTTCCGATGGCATCGTCGCTCGCAAGTCATCGGCGTCATCGATTCGCTCGTCTGCGTGATGAAAAGAGATGACGTGGGTGTTAGGATGTATACGTAATTGCGTAGAGCGGCACGAGATATTTTACCCTCCTCCAAGCGTCCACCCTCCCGCGCCCCCTCCTCTCCGCATCCACCCCACCAGCATCGTTTCCTTCCCCTGCCAAAGCGCGTTAGCCCAATTACATACAATAACATGAATTTAATACGCGTAGCGGAATCCGTGACCTCGCTATACGATCGCGATTACTGTCACCGCGGCCGACGCCATAATCATCTACGATCTGTGATCTTGTAAGATCTGCTCGCTACATCTGCTAGCGCTAACCATAGTTATGGAGACGTTTCACTTCGCGTGCTCTTGCACTACTTTTCCAGTCAGCAGCCGAGATGAAATCAATCGCATAAGCATATATATATATA